TCTGTAAATGTTCTTATTCTGCTCATGTGCCCAGATCAGCAATATTCCTTTCCAGGGTCTCATCCATCATGGCTGTTAAATAGAAGCATGTATGACTTTGGAATCAGTTCATCCCTACTCACTCTCTTGCACCTCTCTAACAATGCACAAATGACATTTCTACATCTACGACAGAATAGAGCAAGTTAAAATTTCAGAGACATGGATTTTCATATCTCATTATATTCAACAGTGTTAGGAAAGATTATTTTGTCCACATAGTGAAGACTAGAGAACCCTAAGAATCCTGGGAAATGGAACAGGTCAAGTTCAGGCCCAGATGCACAATTACAGCTTATACAGCATACAATGTCTTCATCGCACACAGTTCTTCTGGAATGTGATTGTTAGGTCATGCCAGAAGCTACTGCTGTCACTCTTCTTGCGAGTGACAGAATCAACAGTCCTAGAGTGACAGTTCCTAACTATTCCTAGAGCAGTTGCTACTAACAATACATCAGAACAGAGGATCTACAACTGAAATACATACCACAGGGAGCATGGAAGTGAGCTTCTAGTGCCAGCAGCTTCTCCAGAGGAAAAGCGAGTATGTTTGTGCTGTCCAGAAGAGAGATGTGAGCTATGCCTAGAGGAGTCCCTCAGATGAAGGACTTTAAGCTCTGAAGGTAACTTTCTCTTTTGGAAAGACAGGTTGAAGTTAGAATAACATTCAGTTCAATAGATTCTACATGTCGGGTGAGGGTAGACCTCTTGTCATGAAATTTACACAGAACTGTGCATCCAGCCAGCCTCCTGACATCTAAGTGGGCCAAGATCCCAAACTTCCTAGTGTAGGCATCTCAATATTTATAAAAACCTACCTAGTAGGAGTGAAACAGAATGTAAGAAAATTTTTTGAACTCAAATATCCTGACAAGGGAATCATACCCAGAATTTGTGAAAGCCCATAAAACAAAAGGTAAAACTAAGGAGTGAATGGGGGAAGAAGAGGGAGCTAGAAGAAAATGGGAAAGAAATAATAGTTTGTAGGAAGAGACTGCTCTTTTGTTTCCTGGCTGCCCAGACCCAAAATAATCACACAGAAACTATATTAATTACAATAAGTAACTTAAGTGTATTTCTAGCTAGCTACTACATCATAAATTAACCCATTTCTATTATTTTATATTTTACCACAACGCTCATGATTTACTGGTAAGGTTTCTGGTATTTGTGTCCTTCTGCTGTTACATGGCGTCTCTCTAATTCCACTTTATTTCTCCTAGCATTCTTTCTTTCCATAGGCCAAAGCAGAATTATTCATTAACCAATAAAAGTAACACATGTACAAAAGGACTTCCCGTACCAAGAGTTTGGTAAAGGGGGAATAACATCATCAAATAGTAGGAGGTGCTGAAAGGATTTTGAGACCCAAGGAGAGATGAAAGAGTGACCTGGACTTTACTGTTCAGCAAGACATTCAGCTTTGCATATGCTGTGCTGTCTTGTAGTCACTGTGACTCCTTCTGCAGTTTTGTCTCAAACTGAGAGATATAAATGATCCAAGTCTGGGTTACCTCACTCAAGATTGTATTTTCTATTTCCATCCATTTGCATGCAAAATTTGAGAAGTCATTATTTTTTACTGCTGAGTAGTACTCTAATGTGTATATATTCCACACTTTCTTCATCCATTCTTCCATTGAAGAACATCTAGGTTGTTTCCAGGTTCTGGCTATTACAAATAATGCTGCTATGAACATTGTTGAACAAAAATGCCCTTGTCATATGATTGGGCATCTCTTGGGTATATTCCCAAGAGATGAACATGGGATGTACTCAGTCATAATTGGTTTCTAGCCATAAATAAAGGTCAGTGAGTCTATAATTTGATATCCTAAAGAAGCTAAATAAGAAGGTGAACCCAAAGAAAAACATATAGCTATCCTCCTGGGTAGGGGAAGTAGACAAGATTGCCAGGCAAAAAATCAGGATCTTAAGGGTGGGGTGGGAGGGGGGTAAGGGGAGATGGGTAGAGAAAAGTAAGAATGGTAGGATGGGGATAACTTGGGGCAACGGGATGATTGGGATAAAGGAAGGTTGGATAGGGGAGCAGGGAAGCACATATCTTAATTAAGGGAGCCATCTTAGGGTTGGGAAGAGACTTGGACCTAGAGGGGCTTCCAGGTGCCCAAGGTGAGGTCCCCAGTTAGTTCCTGGGGCAGCTGAAGATAGGGAACCTGAAATGATCCTATCCTATAGCCATACGGATGAATATTTTGCATATCACCATAGAACCTTCATCTGGTGATGGATGGAGATAGAGACAGAGACCCACACTGGAGCACTGGACTGAGCTCCCAAAGTCCCAATGAGGAACAGAAGAGGGAGAAGATGAGCAAGGAAGTCGGGACCAAGAGGGGTGCACCCACCCACGGAGACAGTGGAGCTGATCTATTGGGAGCTCACCAAGGCCAGCTGGACTGTGACTGAAAAAGCAGGGGATAAAACCGGACTCTCTGAATATGGCGGACAATGAGGGCTGCTGAGAATTCAAGGACAATGACACTGGGTTTTGATCCTACTACATGTAGGGACTTGAGAGGGAGGGGGAGAGGAGTGGGGGGAGGGGGAGAGGAGTGGGGGGACGGGGAGAGGAGTGGGGGGAGGGGGGAGGAGTGGGGGTCGGGGAGAGGAGTGGGGGGAGGGGGGAGGAATGGGAGGCTGGGAGAAGGCGGAAATTTTTTTTCTCAATAAAAAAAAATGAAATAAAAAAATAAATGATCCAAGTCTTCATTCATCCCTGCACCAACATCAAATGCTTCTTTCCCAATCTCCATCCATTATGAAAAGAATGCTGACAGATAAAAGACCATGAGGTTCATGGCTCTACAGCTTCTTTTTTTATTATTTATTTATTTATTTATTTATTTATTTATTTATTTGGTTTTTCGAGACAGGGTTTCTCTGTGGTTTAGGAGCCTGTCCTGGAACTAGCTCTTGTAGACCAGGCTGGTCTCGAACTCACAGAGATCCGTCTGCCTCTGCCTCCTGAGTGCTGGGATTAAAGGCGTGCGCCACCACCGCCCGGTTTATTTTTTTATTGAGAAAAGGAAAAAAAAGTATCCGCCTCCTCCCAGCCTCCCATTTCCCTCCCCATTCTCCCACCCTTCTCCCCCTCCCCCAAACTCCTCTCCCCCTCCCTTTCCAGTCCATAGAGCAGTCAGGGTTCCCTGCCCTGTGGAAAGTCCAAGGTCCGCCCCCCTCCGTCCATATCTAGGAAGGTGAACAACCAAACTGGCTAGGCTCCCACAAAGCCAGCACATGAAGTAGGGTCAAAACCCCGTGCCATTGTCCTTGGCTTCTCATCAGCCCTCATTGTTTGCCATGTTCAGAGAGTCCGGTTTTATCCCATGATTTTTCAGTCACAGTCCAGCTGGCCTTGGTGAGCTCCCAGTAGATCAGCCCCACTGTCTCAGTGGGTGGGTGCACCCCTCGTGGTCCTGACTTCCTTGCTCATCTCATCTTCTCCCTCCTTCTGCTCCTCATTGGGACCTTGGGAGCTCAGACCAGTGCTCCAGTGTGGGTCTCTGTCTCTATCTCCATCCATCACCAGATAAAGGTTCTATGGTGGTATGCAAGATATTCGTCAGTATTGCTATAGGATAGGGTCATTTCAGGTTGCTTATCCTCAGCTGCCCAAGGGACTAACTGGGGACATCACCATGGGCTCCTGGGATCCACTCTAGGGGCAAGTCTCTTGCCAACCCTAAAAGACACATGTCTTTTAGTATTACAACCCACACAGACACACAGAACTGCTGTTTTCACATGAAAGAAAAAATTCTCCAATTTCTGTCTGTCTGTATGTCTCTCTCTCTCTCTCTCTCTCTCTCTCTCTCTCTCACACACACACACACACACACACACACACACACACACACGGGGAGAAATAAAGACCCATGTTCTGAATGCTGATTTTATTTTAGTAATTTAGGGAAGAGCAAGGGAGCTTTGCAAAAAAACAAAGGATACCATTCTGTTCAGAGTAATGAGAAAAGCTGAAAGGTCAAGCTCATGCCATGTCCCCTCATCACGGGTGGAGTGAGGACAAGGTTCACTTGGGATATGTGCAGGGATTAGATTACATTCAGGCCACACAGGAAGGCATCTTTATTATTCTCTTGTCACAGAAGGCCGAGCATCCACTGGCTCAGTTGTGTTCTTCTCATTTCTACTCCCACTGTCTAGTGGAGCATTTACCAGATGAAGGTCTGGAGCAGAGACCATGCAACCTGAAAGACACAGCACAACAGGATGAGTGGAAACCTTTATATAAAAAAAAACCTTTCCTAGAAGTGAAGTGAGGACAAGATGCACTGGAGAGGAGAGGGGTGATTATCTCGTCTTGCTTACATTCGATCAGAAGATTTCTCTATCATCAGAAGTTGAAAAGAGATGTCATATTGACCCGTGTTCTCATGTGATTGCCTGTCTTTGTATCTTTCTTCAATGACACCCTTTCAATTTAATATGTCTTGCTTTATAAATCATATATGACACTGTGTGCTGATGGAAGCCACTTATATAAAAGCTTCTTATCCAAAAGATCTTGTTACAAACAAAATTTACAAACAAAAATTAAAAGGTCATTCCGGTAAAAGAGCTAAAGTACTCTTAATTCATTTCTGTTCTGTTTCTCCATGAAGAAAGAGTGAGGCAGTGAAGATGGCCTTCACAAGGAAGCAGATACCTATAGTGAGAGTCAGTACAGTTTCTAAATGTTCCTATACATCATGAAATTTAGGAATCTCTGCACATCCCTTTGAATGCTAGAAGTCCAAGAAAGTAGCAAGGAACTTTGGGTACTGGACAGCATCAGGATATTTATCCCACTGGGGATGAGCAATGGGATGAAATGGGAAGATTCTCCCCATGCAAGGGTGACACACATGTCAAGAGTGCCTTTTGCTCAGTGAAGGGACATGCTTGTACTGTTGCAAAACCCTGCTGTCACTTACTTGCACTGGTCACCTTGAGGGCTTCCTTCACTGTAGAGGTCAGAGGGAACTTGCCCTGGTTACAGAAAGAGCCACTGAAGTCATCCATGCCAAGGGCCCAGATCATGGCACCTCCAAAATTGTTCTGCTGAAGCCACTGGGCCTGTTTCAGGAGAGAGGTTAAGAGTCATTTGGATTCTTGCCACTTAATTTTGGGGCCTGTGGTCTTCCAAGGGAATGAACATACCTTGATAAGAAAGCTCTTGACATTGTCATAGCCAACCCACTCATTCCCTTGGTAGGCATAGGGCACTTCCTGGGAGCCTTCCCAGATCTGAGTGGCTCCTTTTGTGAGGAAGGTACAAACCTTTAAAAAGACAAGAGGTCAAATTCTTAAAATATTATGCTAAAAAAAGAAAAATATATTTTGTTTGGTATTCTTTGTGCCTCATTTTAAAATTTGTGTTATTTGTAATTAAAGACATTAAATTACATTTTAAGTGGGGCTGATCAGTGAGGGAAAATTCTCTACAGCTAAACTATATCAAAGGTGAATTTTCTTTCTTTTTATCTCTCTTTTATTTACATTTTGTTTTTTTCCCATTTTTTTGTTTTAGATACAGTCTAGGTCTGTAGCACACAGTACTTTTACACTCTCGCCTCTCCTGCATTTTGGCTTGAAATACGTTTACAGGTGTGAGGCATCACAGTTATCAACACAACTTTTCCCCAAACCTTGGTAAATGAACCCAGTCATTTTCACCAAGAAAAGAGCTGGATCACAGAGGAACACCCAGCTAGTGCTATCTTCAGATGCTCATCTAAGGTTGAGATTTAAGCACTGGATTTAGAGAATCCACATAGTAAGACACATACTTCAATATAACCTTCCTCTGTGCTAATGCAGATACACATCAGTATGTGGTCTGTTACATGAAGAAATAGTATCCAACGTTAAACACTGTATATATATTTTTTTTTGGTTTTTCGAGACAGGGTTTCTCTGTGGTTTTGGAGCCTGTCCTGGAACTAGCTCTTGTAGACCAGGCTGGTCTCGAACTCACAGAGATCTGCCTGCCTCTGCCTCCCGAGTGCTGGGATTAAAGGCGTGCGCCACCACCGCCCGGCCTAACACTGTATATTTGTATGACTGAAGAAGTATAAATTAAAACATTTTATAAATTTGGAAGGACATTTATTAGATCTAGTAAGAACTGGACAGAATGAATGTTCAGATTCAGCTGATTCCAATCTTCCACCCCCTGACACCTGGCTACAGCCCAGTTCTCATCCTGAAACTGAAACAGCACAGGATGGCCAACCTACAGACCTCATAATAGGCCAAGATCCTAGATTCCTGTGTGTAGGGACCTTCAGAGCCAGGGCTTGAGGTTGGGGCACCAATTCCATTGTTAGATGGGTCAGTCAGGGAGAAGGTTTGTGCATATGTTGCAAATCCAACAATAAGCTTCTCAGCTGCAGCTCCATTTTTCACCCAGTACTTCATGATGTAATCCTGAAACACAGCAGACAATTAAAAGTCCCAGACAGCTGCTGAAGACTTGTGGCTGTATATGTTATCTTCCCAATAGCACAAATTCTGTGATTAAAATAATTTTAGAGGTTTTTCAAAAACATATATCTAAATTTATTGTTAATGATTTATGATCAGTAGTTTGGGAAGCAGTGTATGCTTCTAGCTATTTCCTGTATTAATTTACTCATCATTTAGGTTGTCTCTAGTATGGTCTGCATTGCATCTTTTCAGGAACATACCATATTAAGGAAGGCATTGGTGCCAGTGTCAGTTGGGGATTTGTACAAAGGACTGTTTTCTCCGGTGTATCCCTCTTTATAGTCATGAAGATTGTAGTTCATGACTAGGATGTAGTCCAAGAACCTTGAGGAAAAGAGACTCTTAAATAATTTCTGATGAATATTTTCCACACTTATTCAGGAAAAAGACATAATTTCCCAAACTTGTACGCAAAGCATTGGAGCAACAAGACCCCTATGGGTTTGTGTCCTCTGAGTTAATTCCAAGGGATGAAAAAAGAGTAAGAGGGACCACTTACTGGGATAGCTGGGGTATCTCATAGGCAGACTCAATGGTGGAAATGATACCAGCTACTGTAGCAGTGATCATCAGCCTTGGCTTCTTGCTTTCCAGGGATTCTTGCTGAAAAGCTTCAGACATTTCCTACAGAACATTTATGTATACTTCACATTCATTTTGCCTATTCAAATATATTATGGATGTATATATATAATTGTATAATAATTAATAAGATGCTTTTAACATTTTGCCTCTTCTTAACATGATACTGTATCAAAAAATGCATGATATATGACATTAAAATTTGTCAGTTATCTAATAAACATGGATATTAGAAAATCTAACTATGCCCCACCTCAGTGTCTTATCCAGTCACCTACAATGTAGAGTCCGTGTTTCTGGTCAGAGCTTCCCCACCCGTCAGTACTCTGCCCGAGAAATTTCACTAGCAGGCTTTCCTCACAGCCAGTTTTCTATGGTGGAAAAACCTGCTTCTACTTTCTCAGTAGCTCAACTATCTCATAAGGCCAAGATTTTATGGAATGAAATGTACAATTCGCATAACACGAAGAGGAAGTTGGTAAAAAAAATGGTTCATAAGAATAATTAAGTTACAGAGAAAATCAACATGTATTTAGGTCAGCTCTAATAAACAAATTATTTTGATATGCAAATTATTTCCAACCAATTGCTACAGACATTACTATTTAGATCAGTGGTCATTTGTCTAAGAATTTTTACAGGATGGATAGACCAAATAAAATGGGCTTACCACCTCACCTCAAATATTAAACCCCTACATATTGCATTATATGTGCATTGATTTTGTGTAGGTCGAGAAGCAAGGACTAGGAATCATAGCAGTGTCTGGAGGCATGGATCCCTTGAAAACAGAGGAGCTGTGTTTGATGATTAGTGCTATTAAATAAAAGTAACCTAAGGCTGACTTAGTGTCTTACGTTGAAGCTATTCAGAGTGGTTGAAGATCTGGTATTGGTGGTGTGAAAAAGAATCTGTCACTGGAAGCATATCCCATTGGCATAATAGTCTGAGTGAAAACTGAAAGACTAGGAAAATAAATCTAGGAAGTAAAGGTTCTGACTTGCAAGGGGATAGATGTACAAAAGCATCTGTATTCTTAGACTTCACATTATTTATTCATTTTGCTTCCTAATCACCTACTGTTGCTGATACCACCAGTAAAGTAAATTATCTCGGGTTCTTTTGCATGAACTCTTAGTTATTATTTATTCAAGATGTTTTGGGCTTCTGGAGTTATCACACCCAACAGCTTTATGGATATTCATCAATTCTGTTCAAAATCTCCTTGTCTGTGTTAACCATCTTACCTAACATTGTAAGGGTTAAATGATCTCAGCAGGAACATGTAGCTCTCAAACTTTTTTACATGAAAATGCTCCCCTGGTCCTATTGATAATGTCTCTTTTATAGTCTCATGTACCTGACATCCTACCTTTGTGTACAACCCCTGTTTAGTACGGATTTAACTTTTACCTTGTTGACTGACTTCTATGGCTTTCTGTCCTAACATGCCTCCTCAGATTTTTCCATCCTTTATGGTTAATGTCTGAATAAAAACCCAAACATACATATTTCACAATTCTACACTCTCTCTAATCCTTCAACTAATTACATAGAATGGAATAAAAATTCCAAATACTTGAATATACACAAAGTGCCCCATGATCAGAAGCTAGTCATTTTTGCAAACTCACCTTTTCTATCTTACTCCTTTGCTCATGTAGATCCCTATATGTCATCCTCTCCTGACCTAACTGAACACTCCCTGAGTTTGTCAAGACTGAGATCAAGCATCAACATGAGAAGTTTTTTCTCATCCTACCATAGCATAGACTTGGGTAAAAACTAGATGCTGAAATTTTGTCCTCCAGGGACCTTTATCATATCAGTTATCTAAATGAACTTGTAATTGCAACTATGGCTTCAAGATTCCACCCCAGATATACATTACTCAAATCTAATTATGCTCAGTTATCTCAGTTTTGACATAGTCCAAATATTTTCCATATGCCTTGCTTATTAACAACAAACAGTCTCACATAATTGTTCCATGCATTGAACTCTACAATCAGATTGCACTGGTGATTATAACATTCAGTGTCTTTGGGATCTTGGATGAGATATTCTCTACTGTACTTAGTCATTTGTGAAATAAACACTCATGCTTAGGGTTCCTATTTGACAGAAAATGTGAAGATGAATCTTGATTGTTGAAAAGCACGCAGAGTAATACCTAACACATAATAACTTGTTGCAGTAAGGTGTGGTGATATCTAAGGATCTTGGTAAGCCTAATATTCTCAACTCTAAACTCTTCTTAGACTTTGCTCTGCAACACTCCTTAGGAAGGACAGGTTTTGTATCTTCTAGGACTCAAACACTTTATCCTTTTCCTCACCTGCACCAGGACAGTGAAGAGATGCTTGTCCTCAGGAGGGCTTCCAGGAGACCCTGGGTATTGCCAGTCCAAGTTCAGTCCATCAAATCCATACTGGCGTAGGAAGTCAACAACTGATTTGATGAAAGTCTTGCGGAACTCAGGAGTGGACACCATGTATGAAAAACTGAGGAAAACCAAAAAAATAAGGTAAGGCCATGATACAGACACATTGGAATCAAACTCGTGAATAACTCAATTTCTGCCTCTGAGCCCTTCCCCTGGCCTCTCTGATTTCCATCCTGCCTCCTTCCAAAATCATGACTTTTCTCAGACATGGTACCTTAGTATGGTTTTCTTTTTTCTACTCTATATTTCCCGAATTTCCTGTGCTGTTTTTACCAACCAGATATCTGAGCTGTGTTTATTTTTTTTTCAAATGTCTTCCAAATACAGGGAAACTTATAAATCTTCTTATCCATAAGATTCCCTTTTATTTCTCTTCTCCAGAACACAGAAAAATGGAAAGACATTTGTCACACCTCTGTCCACGACAGTTTTAGGAACAGGCTGTTTGAAAGGCACTAACTCACAGCTCAGAGGACGCTGTCCATTCGTATCATTCCAAAATTAAATACATGAAAGCCAGGGTATCCTTTTCAATATCTTCTACTTACTATTTAGGCTCTAGTGAAAGATTTAACTGAATTTCAAAATTCGTGAAATGACATCTTTAATGCCCATGGTAATGTTGTGAAATAACAGAACTCATATAGAATAGAACTAGCTTGTTTTCATATAAATGAACCAGAGACTCTGAACAGAGCACTTACGGGGCAGATCCAGTATTGCTGCCTCCAACTGCCAGGAGAGTTATCATCTCATTGTTCCTTTAAAGAAAAAGTTAAAGATGAGAAATTTTATACTCTGTGGGTCTCTCTTTTTAAAAAAGTTCTGTTATCTGTACTAAGACTCATATTATTTGGTGTTGTCTAACATAATACATCATACTATATGTTAATCACATTACATGACTGAAAGATTTATATATTTATCTATAATATGTACATTATATGCTTTATATATACATACAACAAACTAAATATATTTTAATAAATGCAGTCCAAGCCCCTTATGATATAATCCAATTTTCTTTTTTTTTACTCTTTTAATAGAATTTTAATCCATCTTTTCTGTGATATAAGATAGTACTACCAGACATCTCTAACCTTCAGACTTTTTTTTCCTCTTTTTTTATTTTTAATTAACTTATTTTTTAAAGATTTCTGTCTCTTCCCCGCCACCGCCTCCCATTTCCCTCCCCCTCCCCCAATCAAGCCCCCCTCCCTCCTCAGCCCGAAGAGCAATCAGGGTTCCCTGTCCTGTGGAAAGTCCAAGGAACCCCCACCTCCATCCAGTTCTAGTAAGGTTTCAATTTGATTTTCTGAAAGTAGTAAATTGTCAGGTACTTATATTCCTATAACAAAAAAGTTAAAATTAGCTTCTATTCTCTTCTACAACTAGTTTTGTTTAACTTTCAAATACTGTATACCATAGTAATGTGAAATGTTATCTAAGTCCTTGTCACCTGACAGTTGACTTCTGAGAAAGAGGACCTGAGTTCAATCCCCAGCAACCACATGGTGGCTCACAACTATTTGTAATGAAGTATGGTGCCCTATTCTGACCTGCAGGCATACATGCAGTCAGAACACTTTACATAATAAATAAAAGGTGTTCTCTCTCCCTCCCTCTTTCTCCTAAAAAAACCTCACAAAATGAAAATTGAATAAAGATGGATTCTAGAATACCAAATTAAAAAATTTATCATTGAAATGAATGCATATGGATACATGCCAACCATGTACTGGAACATTCCAGGACATGGACAGGATGCAAATGTTTGTTTTGTTTGGTAAATATATACAGTTTCAGTTAATACAAATGTAAAAAGATGGCATTGTCTGGGATCACACATTAAAAAATTGCTTCTGAGCCACATTTTAGAAGAAGAGACACTATAGACATCAAACAAATAGTTTTTCCCTTCTCTGACCTGTTTTTCAGGGTATGTAAAATTTGGTAGTCAGTCAAGTCACCCATTCTTCTTTGTGTGATTCTGTTGTTCTGAATCTCCGCAAAGGCATAGATGAGGTGAGAACACAGGCAGGGATCAATATCACTAACACTGAAACTGCCCAGTCCTGGCCTGTCCTGGGCCACATTGTTGTAGTAGCACATCAGCTGGTAGGAAGAACCTGTGGAATGTGAAAAGTAAGAACTACAGTATGCGGCAGGTGACAGTGGGGTCTGCTGACTTTTGTTCCTTCCTCTTGCCCTTCTTGTATCTCAGGTACATTTTATCTCTGAGAACCAGATTGTGTGAAGACTCTTGAGCATGAGTCCAGGGTTTCTAACTCATGCACCAGCCTCTCACTGAGTTTTGTTATATAGAGTTGGTAGAGGTCCATGTTCAAAGCTTGCATGAGCATAGGAGCTCATAAGAATTCATGCTCACCATTCCTGAGAAGCTCTACAGTTACCAGTTCCTTAACACTCAGAGGGAAACACTGCTGAGGACATCACAGATGGCTGAACTAAGAGTCATTCCTTGATGATAACCCATCCCTTTCCCTGGTTGGTTTATCTCCTCATACTGTTTTACAAGTACACTAATATGATGGTATGGTGTAGGAGTCCCTTCTGTATGTGTGCTGCTTTCATTGATTAATGAATAAAGAAACTGCCTTGGCCTAGTTGATAGGGCGGAACTTAGGTAGGTGGAGAAAACAGAACTGAATGCTGGGAGGAAGAAGAGCAGAGTCAGAGAAGCCATGGATCCTCCACCTGAGATGGACGCTGGTTAGAATCTCCAGTAAGCCACTGCCACATGGTGATACACAGATTAATGGAGATGGGTTAAACTAATGTGTAAGAGTTAGCCAATAAGAAGTTAGAGCTAATGGCCAAGCAGTGTTTTAATTAATACAGTTTCTGTGTGGTTATTTTGAGTGTAAGCAAGCTGGGCAGCTGGGACAAACAAGTGGCCCCCTTTTCCTGCAACAACGGCATACTTTTAAAAGGACATACAATAAGCAGACATATGTTGTAAAAGTAAATTTGATAACATAAAGCTTATGGGAGGAAAAGACTTTGTCAACAAAATGAGGTAACATCACTAACTTACCCAGCTGGGCATTCAGCAGAAGTGCCAGACCTAGAGAGAGAGAACAAACATGGACTTAGAGGTAGCTGTTGGAATCCTTAGCACTTCTGAGAAGTCTGAACAATTCTACTAGAAGTTGATCAATATTATATAAATAGATCTTCACATCTGTACCAAGGGTGACCTTTTTAATTAACATACATACACTTCCCTCTACTCTTTATGAATTCACAAAACATGCAAAGACACTCCTGTTTCTCCTTCTGTGTCAAAATTGAAGATAAATTTCAGAAATCAACTGTCTATACTAGCAACACATGCTAAAATTTTACAAATTGGTTCTCTTCTGTGACTCAACATTCAGAAATACCCGGCCTGCCAGAACCCTTGGGATCCCAGACTTCCAACACTTAAGGTATACTCAAGCATCAAGCAATACACCCTCTAGATGTGTTTTTTTTTTTGAGTCATCTTTGAAGACTTTTTCCCACAGTTAATATGATGCGAGGAGCCACATATCTGTTATGGGTTTCAAAAACAGTCCTTGAATTTTTTAAAATGGGTTTCACCTTTTATTTTGTTTTTGGCTTTTAACTGGCAATCTCACTATTAGCTCAGGCTTTCCTTCAACATTGAACCTCGTCACTCCTGACAGATGAATGGTAGACATCTGACATCACCATGCCATCAGACCACTTGTACTCTAAATCTCTTATTCATTGAGCTTAGGATCATTTGAATATATTCAGCATTTTAGCAAATTTTGTAAACAAATTTAGAGCAGCTGGTAGATTTTCAATGAAATGGCATAAACAACTACTGACACAATCTCTTTGAATGAATCCATAAAAATTACACTTTTATGTCACCAAAACTACAGCATGTTCAAGGACAAATGAGAAAAACATTCTTCATTGTAAGGGGCAAAGAACGCATGGCTAGCTCTAGCTCCTCCCAATCATTTTCATCTCTGTAGAACTCTAGTTTCAAGACACTAACAGATTCATAAGCACAACTCCAAAGTCAGGCAAGAGGTTAACCAAGAGAAGCAGAGAGAATGATTGGCTGCAGCAAGGAGAAAAGAGCACACACATTGCACATGAGTGAGACTTTCTGCTAGGCCATGGCATTGATATCAAAGAAGAAGTGTCACAATAGCCCATGGTAGAAGAGCAGGAGAAATCCTGGTTAAAAAAGAAGAGAAATTAAATAAGAAAAGATAATCAATTTAATCATAGTAGTACTATACTATGAAATATGCTTCTTGGTTGTCAGATCTTGAGGCAAAAAAAAAAAAACCAGGCAAGATTGAGGCTCTAAATCTGATTACCAACTCACCTGTGATAAGAATGAGCCTTGCCATGGTGCCTTTAGGACTGCCCCAGCACAGCCTCCACTGCCTTTTTATGCATTTGAGAGCCTGCTTATCACAGATTTCAGATGAAAAGTAAACACTTTATGGGTTTTTGTGTGGGTAATCAGTAAATCCAGAGATCTACATACTGACTCAGCTCCTTCAGAATCTTACCACCATTACCTCCTTACCTGCCCTTTATTGAAAAAATGTTATATCTCCTTGCATTATGCTGGATATAATAGCCCTAGAAAAAAATCATTCTATCAGTATCTTTTAAACAGGGTTCTTCCATATATCAGCTGGTCAAACATAAAATTAAAGTTTTGTTGTGGAGATATTTCATATCAGGCATAAAATCACATTCCTCTTGAAAGGCAAACAAAATAATTCTGTAGAATTTATTATCTACTTTCCACATTTTTTCTTCCATGGAATTATTGCCATAGAAGTCAAGTACCCACTTGACATAATAAATTCTAAGGAAATCCTTAGAATCATAAGAACATACTTTAAAAACCCTTCACTCCACTAAATTTGAAAGTCTGAAAGAAATTGATACTTTTCTTGATAGGTACCACTTAGTAAAGTTAAATCAAGATAATATGTGCATTTTGAACAGACTTATAACTCCTAGTGAAATAGAAGCAGGTCATTAAAATTTTCTCAACCAAAATCCACCCAGGACCAGATGTTCTTTGTGCAGAAGTCTATCAGAATTTTAAAGACAAGTTAATGCCTATACTCTACAAATTATTCAACAAAATAGAAAGAACATTGATCATTTTTTTCTATGAGGTCACCATTACCATTATACCCAAAACACATAATGAACCAGCACATAAAGGTAATTACAGACTAAATTACATAACGGACATATATGCAAAAATACTCAATAAAACACATGGAAACTGAATCTAAGAACACATCAAGATCATTATCCACTCAGAGGAATGTTCAACACCTTCCCTTAACTTTTAGGGAAATGCAAATCAAAGCTACTCTGAAATTACAGTTTAAACTTCTAAGAATGGCTAAATTCAATAACATGAGTGAGAACTCCTGCTGGCAGGATATGGAATAACGGTGTTCTAGGATAATTTTATTTCATCATGACAGAAGCTGAATTTATCTGAGGGGAGGCAGCCTTTGTTAAGCAATACCTCAATGCTATCAGGCTGTAGGCAGCCTGTAAAGTATTTTCTTGACTAGTAATTAATGGGAGAAAGCTAAGCTCATTGTGGGTGGTGCCGTCCCTGGGCTGGTGGTCCTAGTTTCTTAAAAAGACAGACTGAATAAGCCATGAGGAGCAAACTAGCAAGCAGAATCCCTCCATAATGTATGCATCAGCTCCTGCTTCCAAGTTCCAGTCCTGTTTGAGTTCTTTTCCTGGCTTCTTTGTGAGTGTAAGTCAAGTAAACCCATTCCTCTCCAACTTACTTTTGCTCATGGTCCTTTATCACCGTAATAGAAAATCTAATGAAGATAAGATGGTACCAGCATAGCTGGGAATTGCTATGACAGACCTGGCAGAGTTTTGGGGAGGATTGTGGAAAGATTTTAGAACTTTGAACTAGAAAGCCATTGAGTGTTGAGAGTGGGATGTTCTTTGGGAGATTGGAAGATAAGAATGTTGAGAGCAGTGCAGAAGATGGAGGTTTGGCATGTCAAGTTTTAGAAGGGATTTTCCAAGACTCCATCTGGGCCATTTGTTAATTTGAATTAAGATTCTGTGGCTCTGGTATGCTTATGCTGAAGAATAATCTGTGAGTAGCAAGACGCCAGAACTACTAAAGTGAAAACTTGCTTCACTTGAATACTCAATGTTGGCTGGCTGTAGCTGAGAAATTACCAGTGATTAAGAAGGGACCTGCATCATTGCCATAACATCTCCTTGAAAGTGTTCTCTCAGAGATAGCATACAAGGTGTATTCCAGAGTTGGCCAAAGTTTCATTTCAAGCTGTCAGAATAACTTGATAGTTAAAGGGTCAGCCAGGTGGTAATGATTTTGAAGGCATGAAGGGATCATAGAGAGCAGCTGAGGTTTGGCACTGTGAGGGGCCAGGATAGGCCATTAGTGAAGGTACAGCCTCAGTGGTAGCTAAAGGTCCGGAACGGAAGAGGTCATGCAGAGAAGTTGAGGCTTGGCACCATGAAGAGAGCCTATCAGAGGCTATCAGCGAAACTAAAGTTCAGTTGCAGAAAAAGATACCAGTATTTTGGAGATGCCAGCACCTTGGGATGACCACTGAGTATAGCAGCAGGTGTAGAAAAGATCCAACTGGAGCCTAGAATACAAGCTGTGTGTGCTTCAGAAAGTAGAACATGAAAAATGATGCAAGCCCCTGGGAGGCGCTCAGGAGCTCCTGCATGTATCCCAGACATTGGACATTGCATTAATTATACAGTTGGAGTTTGGTTTTTCCTTTGTTTATATTGTTATTCTGCTTTGGTTCTTTCTTCCCTCTTGAAGTTAGGAAGTAGTTAACTTTTATTTTTAACATAAACCACAGAGATTTCAAACTTTTAAAGGAATTTTTGGATTTTAAAGACACTGAATATGTTAAGGGACCGAATTCTTAATGTGTTTAAATTTGTAAAGATTGTGGGCATTTAAAGTTAAGTTTTTAATGTGAGATCTTGGGAATAACTGAGAAAGAAAAGATAATGATAATGTGCTTGCCAATTTGACAAGGAGTAATTTGATGGATTGTTTTAAGTCAATTTGGCACAAGCTTGAGTCATGTGAAGGAACGTAGCTTCAATTAAGAAAATGCCTCAACGCCATTTGAGTTCCTCTCCAGACTTCCTTCAGCAATGGACTATGATGAGGATACATAAGCCAGAAAAACTCTTTCCTCTCCAACTTACTTCTGGTCCTAGTGTTTCATTGCAGCAATAGAAACTAGAACTAAGTCAAGAGGAAACACTCATATATTTCAGATGGGTGTGGAACAATGTACATCCACTATGGATATCAGTGTGGAAGTTCCTCAGAAGGATTGGAATTGATCTCTTTCAGGATCCAGTGATACCATTTTGAACATATACCCAAAGTATGTGTCATCCTACCACATAGAGACTTGCTCAACCATGTTCATTGTTTTTCTATTCATAATAGCCATAAATTGGAAACAACCTAGTTGTCCTTCAACAGAAAAATGGATAAATAAAAGTGGTGCATTAACAAAATGGAATATTACCCAGCTTTTAAAAAGAAAGAAAACATGAAATTTGCAGGCTAATGATTGAAACTTAAAAGAATATTACCTTGAGAGATAACACACACCCAGAAAGTTAAATATGGTATGAATTCACTTACATGTGGATATTAACCTTTAAGAAATGATAATCAGGCTACAGTCCATAGATTCAGAAAAAAATTAAGTATAAAGAAAGGGACTTGGGGGGACACATAGATCTACCTAGGATGGGGAAATAGAATAGATTTTAGGGTCAACTGAGGGCAGGAGGGATGAGTATGGGAGGATCATATGGGGAGGGGCTTAATAGGGGGGAGACTGCTAGAATTGAAGAGTGTTTGAGGGGTGATATGGAAACCAAGTGCAATGGAAACTTCCTAAAATATATGAAGGGGATCCTAATAAAGCAACCAAATGATAGGAGAGAAAGAGTCCCAGTTGGCCATCTCTTGTCAACAAGGGGAAGCTTCCAGTGCTGGGACTAGTTACACCCAATTGAGTTGACCAAAGGTATACCATGGAAATCTCCAAACAACCCAGGCTGTTGCCAAGACAAGAGATTGATCTTCACAGAGCAAGGACCTATAGCTCAAGACCATACCCATACAACTCATTGAGCAATGGAGATGTCTAGATGGTGCTTGCCTAGAACTTTCTCCATATGTTCTAGTGTCTTTGGTATAGAAAGGTACTCTATGGTCTTCTAAAAGAGAAACATAAACACCAACCCAGTCACAAACACTTTGATCGACAATGATTTCCTACTTTCAAGTTATGCTAGATCAGTGGAGACACTGCTTGTCAGAGTAACCAACTAAAGTCTGATTTGACTTAAGGTCTACTCTCATAGATGGGACTCATGCTGACACAGCCTGGGTGACCAATAACCAAGACTGGATATCCCAGAAACCCAGGATAAAGCAAATGCTACTGATCTTAAAAGATAGTAGTGATAAAATGACTCCCAATGATATTGTACTATAGTCATAGACTAGTGCCTATTCAGCCATCATCAGAGAAGTATCCCCTGCAGCAGTGAGAGCTGATGCAGAGACCCACAGGCCGATAATATACAGAGAGTGAGAAACCTTGAAAGACACAACTCTAAATAGGATGCCTGCATCAAATCAGGGAAGGAGCAGGTGAAAGGAATGTAAGAGCCAGAAGGGATGTAGGACCCAGGAGAGCAAGGGCATCTCAATCAACTGAGCAGAGCTCATGGGAACTCACAAAGACTGAAGCAACAAGCACAGGGATTCCACAGGGTAGTGCCAGTTCCTCTGCAAATAGATGACAGCTTTCCATTGAGTATTTTCATGGAAGTCCCAAGTTTGTGAAGCAGTGGGTCTCTGGAGCTTCAACCTTCTCTTTGGCTCTTTTCCTTCTTTTGGTTTGCCTTGTCCAATGTCAATGTGATGGTTTTGCTTCATTTTCATATGCATTGTTGTTATCTTTTAGAAGGCTGCTCTTTTCTAATGATAGACAAATAGGGAGTGGATCCAGAGGGAAGGCTAGTTGGGGAGGATGTAGGATGAGAGGGAGGGGAAACTAGAACACGGATAAATTTATTGGATGAGAAAGAACCTATTTTCAATTTAAAAGGGGAAAAATATAAAACAAAGTAATCACTCAGAAAACACCAAGTAAACTAGTCTCAGACATGTGAAAAAAAAGAAGTAGAAGACAGGACCATGTAAAAAATGATCTAATTTTGTTTTTTTTTAAATAAATTTCAAATTATTTTTTTATTTTTGAGATTGTAATGGTTATAACATTTCTTTTTTCTCTTTACTCCATCAAAGCCT